ACGAGTCATGATGATATAATATTTTGTTCAATAAGAGATTTTCGAAGATATACATAACGTATTTCTAGATATGTGGAGAAAAGTCTCCCATAAGCTTGGCATATATATTGTCTTGTATTTTAGAATAAATAAATAAAAATCAGCCTATCTTTTGAAATAGGTTAACATTTTGAAATGCAACTTTAAATCCCAAACATGTAATGGATAATTGCACACATTGCTCTAGGTCTCTTTTGTAGGTCCTTTTGTTTGGTTTGGTAAAGAACTTTGGGCAAACTATATTTGGTTGGTGCATTGGGGATCTTCTTGGGTTCTTGCCAGTATGGTTTCGTTTTGTAGAATATTGGCCTTCAATCTCCTCTATTCCGAGCTCAATTTCACCAAGAATCAACACCCCAAGAAAATGACCCAAGACACCTTCAAATTCTCTCACTTAGGTTGCTACCAATAAGCCCACTTAGAACACAAAGGGGGAAGGTGTTTGTAGCCACCAAGGCCGAGCCACAAAGGCTAAAGAGCAAGAAGAAGATCACAAGGCAAACTCCAAAGAACGGAAGCACAAAGCAAGGCAGCCGAGTTCTCTCTATTGCAAGACAAGCACACTTCCCAAATTACCAAAGCAAATATAAGGAAATATATATGGTTCACTTAGGACATAATGATGGGTCGGCCCAACAAGAGAACATAGAGTGGGCCAAAACGAGCCATCCATTAAGTAAGAAATTGGGCCATGAGCAACTCCAATAATTATACTGCTTCCAATGGCCTAAAATAGTTTTATGGTGAGTCATCAATATTAGGTGTTGATATAATAATTATTCAACAACGGTTTTACATCATCGCTCGGGATTTATTAGGTATCAAAACACAACACGTTTGCTATGTCCCAATAGCTTGGGCTAGCCCCTTTTACTTCAATTTCACTGGGTTTCCTTTTCCTCTTGGCCCTTTTCTTAATTATTAATAGGCGAGGTTAGCTTCCTGATTCTAACACTTTTGGTATTTGCTTTTGGGTCTATAATTTAAAGCAATTCTTTCCGGCGACTCCATCATCCATGTATTCAT